CTGTTTCCTTATGTTTGTGCACCACCCCTGCCTCTTACAGTCTTTCTGCCCCCTCTTCCACAATGGTTCCTGAGCCATGGGTGAGTGAGGTTTAATATTGGAGTGTCTGTCCAGGGACATGTCCTCTGCAGTCTCTTATTCTCTACACCTTGGCCGGTTGTGGCCTTCTGAGTGCATCACATTCTGTTGTATGAGGAAGCTTCGCTGGTGAGCTGCTGAGAGTTGAGGGATGCCCTAGTAGTCTCTCTACCCCCTCACCCACTATGTCCATGAGCCTTACGTGTCAAGGTTCCACTGTAGATGTGTCATTTAGGGCTGGGCATCTCTCAGACATATATTCTCTGTGTGTGACTAGTTGTGGAGCTCTGTAATAACCTCTGACTATTGCAAAAAGAAGCTTTGATGAGTGGTGTACAGTATACTTGTTAGGGTGGCAGGCAGTTTCTGTGGTGGGCAGATCAAGAGGCCAAGGGCAAGGTGGGGTGGGGACAGCCTGTGGAGGGTCTGTCTTTGTTTCTTTTTACAGAATTTCACTTTTCTCATCCCAGTGAAACACAAACCAGCTGCTCTTCCTCAGTCTTCACTGTGACTGGAGGGATGATGGGTGTGCACCTTCATCCTTTGGCTGAGATACTTTATGTGTATAAGTTTAAATTCTTTCTAATTTTTTTTATTTACTTTATTTTATTATGAGTATTTTGTCTGCATGTATGTAAGTGCATCATGTGCCTGCAGTACCTGTGGAGGTCAGAAGATGGCATCAGATCCCCTGGAACTGGAGTTACAGATGATTGTTAGCAATGTGGGTCCTGGGAATCAAACCCAGGTCCTCTGAAGAGCAGCAGCCAGTGCTCTTAAACACTGAACCCTCTCCAGCCCCAAGTTTAACACTTTCATTAGGTCAGCATTAAGTTATAAAATAGTTTGAAAACACTGGACGCAAGATAAAGACTTTAGGTCTAAGGCTCTGATGCTTGTGTAAAGTGCTCAGACAACTCCTGACTTTTCTAGGGGTTTATGCTTTTTACTGAAACTTTGAAGTTCTCAGAAACAGCAAAGACTTTCTACCTAGCAACTACTTAAAATTGGTTTGTTCTTTCTGTGGTACTGTCTTATCAAATTATCCTAAACCCTTCCTGAGTCAAACTTACATCTCTATCTTGCTGAAGACAGGTAAACTTCTAGAATGAAATGTTTATTTAGGGTTGGAGGATCTCCTGGTCATCTAATCCTACCCTCTTGTCGGGCCTGAACTCTTCTGCCCTGATATCCAGTTCTTTGTCCCTGCTGGTTCATCACCCTTATGACAGTTGGAAGGCCCTACATCTTTGCTTTGGTGAGCTGAGAGCAGAACAGGTAGGCTTGGGTGTGCCTTTGCTTAGCAGAATGAGAAAAACCTTTGATACAGGAAATTAAACATTTCCCAAGTATAATTCTAGTCTAACACAACTGAAGTCTGGCTAGGAAACTGTCTTATAAGACAGTTTTAGAGAAATGTCGTTAAACCTTGTTTTTATACTTTTTATGAACATAAGTGTCTGTAAACAAACCAGGTATTTAGGGTTCATTTGTGTATCTAAATGCTTTAAAAAAATTCTTTTAGATCACAGATGCAATAAAACATTTAAACAAACTGCCAAAATATTTTGAAGAAGCTAAACTCCCTTCTTCCCTCACCTCTCCTCAGTGTAGACTAGTTTGGTATGAAGCTTACATTTCTTCCAAGAACTTTAAATAAACTAACTTCTTGGACGGGTCTGACAGGTAGATCTCCGTACTTTCCTGAGGGAAAGCAAAGGAAAACAGGGCCGTGTTTACCCTCCCTCTTTTGTAAATTGACCTGATTGAGGAACTGAAGAAACTTGAGAGTTGAAGCTCTTGTTTGTTTGAGACAGGGTCTCCTTGTCATCCGGCTGACCTGGATGTCACAGTCCTGACTGCCTCTGCCTTCCAAGGGCTGGAATTAAAGGCTCCCGCCATGCATGGCCATAGTCAATACTGCTAACTGGAATTAGACGTTACTTTTTTTCTGTACTTTCTTGTGTTATGATTTCTTAAACAGCAGTTGTTAATAATAGCTAGGCAATACTTTTTGCAGTACGGGATCTCTAGAACCTAGGCCACCTGTGCATCCATCCGTCCCTCTGTCCATTGTCCCTCTGTCCATCTGTCTCTCCGTCCATCTGCACATCCGTCCCTCCACATTTGCATGCACCTTGCTCCAGTGGCTGTGCTGGAGTCTGGCAGATGAAGAGTCTGGGTGGATCACATTTTAGTGGTAGGCAGTAACAAGATGATTCACAGACTGCTACGTGACCTTGTTTACATTAGTGGGTAGAGGTGGGGGTTCGGGAAAGCTTCCTTAAACAAGTGACTTTTTTCCTATGGAGGCCTGAAAGCAGACCAGTCTGGAAGATGTCCTACAGTAACCCAGGCAGAGGTGCTGATCAGGGGTAGTTGAAGGAGTACATGTGATGAGAATGACAAGAATCCCAGTCTGTTTCTAAAATGTCTGACATGGGGCTGGAGAGATGGGTCAGTGGTTTGAGCACGCACTGCTTTGCAGAGGACCTGGCTTCAGTCCCAGCTCCCATGTCAGGCAGCTCACAACCTCCTGTAACTCTAGCTCCAGGGGATCCAATACCTCTGGCCTCCTTGGGTACCTACACTTACATGCACATACCAACACACATATGCACACATACGTAATTAAAATTAAACAAAAATTTTAAAGTAGGTGATGTAGCTGTTGAGGACGAGGAAGGGAAGGTTGGTAACAAAACCTTCCGTGAGTACTGTCATGTGCCATAATGTAGATCATTCATCCATGTATTGTTGACTTTGTTTGAGGCAGGGTCTCCCCGTAGCCCCAGCTGGGCTGGAACTTGATCTCAGAGATCCATCTGCCTCTGCCTCCTGAGCACTGGGATTATAGAGGTGCCACTGTGCCCACTCATTCTTGGCCTTGTACAGACAGAAAAAGTTCCAGGCAGTTTGCAGCTGTAGTCTCAAGACAGGCTAGTTTGGGGCCGTGTTGTGAAGCTGCTTTTCGTGGTGTGGTTGGTTAGATCGGTGGAAGTTAGTTCCTTGCTCTCAGGATATTCATACCACATAGAGCACAGAGAAACAATCACAGCAGATACCTGTGACCTGAAGTGGCTGGAGTGTTTGTTAGCGTTTCCACATGGAAGTGAGGGAACGATTGAGAGGACTTCTGCTTTGGGTTAGCTGGGTGTGCCTCACCCATTTCCACAAGTTCCTTTGAATCTTGACCCCCCAGTAAAGTAGCATGGTAATTAGGGTAAAGAGCTCTTAGTTGATGCTGTGCGCCTATGATCCCACAGTTACTGTCAAGACTTCTAGGCATGGCATTGAAGGCTGTCTGAGGTCTGCCCTGCCCTGTTAGATTTCACACTAGCCCATTTCTCCCTTTTTCATTGTATAGCAATCTCTGGAGCGACCTTTAAACTGCTCTCTGTACACTTAAGCCCAGCAGCTCATGCCTTGCTGGTCCTCTGCCACCATTGTGCCGCACTCAATGTTGCACTCACTCTTAATGTATCATTAACACCTATCGTTTTGAATGGAAAGAGCATATCATAATGTACACTGTCCCCTCTCCAGAGTGTAAAGAGCGGACTGACCCGACTTGATCTCATTTTGATTGGAAGGGCAGAATGCTGGCAGGGAACCCGCTCCGGAGTTTCTGTGGATATGTGATATAAGTCTTACTTTTAGGGAGTGGGGATTCCTGGTCTTCTGAGATGGTGTTTATCTAACAAGGGTCACAGGGTTAGTGAGTCTATTGAACTGCACCTTCAGGAATATGACGAAATAAGTAAGGCAGGACACAGCGTAAAAGAACTCAGAGACTGCCAAGGAGCAGAGAAACCTTTGTTTGCTGGTCATTTTAAAGCCTGGGGTTGGAAATGTCTGGAGCTGCCGAATGCACCAAGGTTTACTTGGTTTCCTTTGTTTCTCCCTCGGAACTAGTAAGGAAAACTGCACATAGAGTGTGTTCTGGAGCCCTCTGTATGAAAATAAGATGTTACTGAGGGACAGCTTTGGGGCCGGAGAGATGGCTTCACGGGTAAGAGCACTGGCTGCTCTTCCAGGGGACCTTGTTTTGGTTCCCAGCACCTACATGGTGGCTCACAGCCGTCTGTAACTCCAGTTCCGGGGGATCCAACCTCTTCTGGCCTCCATAGGCATTGTACGGCACAGATGCACTAACATCCATGCAGGCAAAACACTCATACACATAAAATAAAAGGAATAAATAAAAATAAAATGCTTTTTAAAAAATAGTAAGGAAATAAAGTGTGGTCAGGTGGATGTGGTAGTACATGCCTGTAATTTCACACAGGAGGTGGAGGCCAACCTGGGCTACATAATTACACCTTGACTACTAGTTCCATCTCAGAGAGACCCTTTCTGCTCCTTGCTCCAGTCCCCCAGCTCCCCAGTCTGAGATCTGGCCCCACACTGGTGTGCTCACTTGCATCTCCAGCACACTTCCCCCATGGGTTATTATGTTCATGAACACTCCTACCTCAGCTGGTGAAATCATACCATGAATGCACTAGCTCTTCCTTTGATGGATTTTTAGAGAAAACACAGAGTACTTTCACAGTATTTGTATTATGTCCCTCGAAATTATTGTGTATATGTCTCTCTTTTCCATATTGTAGGCTCTCTGAAGAAAGATGAAAGTGTTATATATTGTTAGCAATCAGTCAATGCTTGTGGATTTTTCTTGCTAGGATGTCAGTCATGCTTTACTTGATGGTCATTAGCCTGTTCTGCATGTAGGTGCTTCATAAATGTGAGCCATTTATGGTCTGTGGTTCCCAGGAGAAATCTGATTTTTCTTTGTCATGGATAGAGCTCTTTTTACAACATTATGTGCTTGTCAGTTTTTTTTACAGTGTCTTGTTTTTTGTAATTTTATATACATGTTTTAAAATATCAAAGTAATGTTTTTTTGTCTTCTCTTTTAGATATTAATATATGGAGATTTGCCAAAAAATAAAGAAAATGTAATATATTTAGCAAATCATCAAAGCACAGGTTTGTATTTTATTTGCATGAAACTTGGGGTTTCTACAAATGGTACATGGGCATTCAAAATATAAACATACAGACAGGGACTCAAGTAACCCAGGATGTCGTCAAACTCACCAAGTCACCAAGAATGATCTTAAGGTTTGATCTACTTGCCTCAAATGCCCAAGGGCTGGGAGTACAGGTGTGCACCCCAAGGTATGGAACCCAGGACTTCACGCATACTAGGCAGGCATGCTATCTCCCAAGCTACATCCCCAGATCCTCAAAGCTATATTCTTCTCAAAAAGATTTATTCATTCATTTGTTGATTTTTAATTATGTGTATGTATGTGTGTCTGTGGTGGGGGTATGTGGATATCAGTGCAGTTGCCCATAGAGACCAGAAGAGGGCCATCAGATTTCCTGGAGCTGGAGTTAAGGCGGTTGTGGGCTGCCCTTTGTGGGTTCTGGGAACTGAACTGGGGTCCTCTGCAAGAGTAGTATATGCTCTTAACTACTGAGCCCTCTCTCCATCCTTCAAATTATCATTATGTATTTAAACCTTGTATATTTAAATGAAGTTGGTTTTTAAAAACTGTTAACACATGCGTATCCTCTGTAGATTTTGTATCTGACTGTGAAATTCTATAATTTTTCTTTTTGGCAAAATCAGTACTGTGAAAGGCATGGGTTTTCCTAGACTTCTCTTTTGTGTACAATAAGCCATTTTCTTCCCCCCACATTTCCTTGACTAGCTCTTTAGTCTATTCAGTTTTCTTTTAGTGAGTTATATTTGTAGTGGTGGAATTGGTGGATCAAGTGTATACATTTTTTTTTGGTCTTTTTGAGACAGGGTCTCCCTGTAGCCCCGGCTGTCCTGGAACTCACCATGTAATTATTACATCCTTGTCTAGTCATTTATTTATTTTTGAGACAGGATCTTGTTATATAGCTCAGGCAGACCGCAAGCTCACAGTCATCCTGTCTCAGCCTCTCGAGTGCTGGGATCACAGTTGTGTGCTAGGACATGCCTAGGACAGGACATGATGGCCGGGGCGTGGCCTACCGCACCTACCGCAGCTTCAGTTCTTTCACAGGCTGTTCTCTTCAAGTTCAGCAGGACACGACTCTGCTGTGTCTAGATCACTACTGAAGAATTCTGACTTAACCAAATTAACCATTCTTGCCAGAATACAAGGTGTGATTATTTATGTGAAGGTAATACTTTACTTCCGTGTTTTAGTCCAGTGTTACCTCTCCAAAACCTCGTTGCAGATGAGCAGTGCAAAGTGACGTACTGATGCAGGTACTGATGACTGCTGTGTCTCTCAACTTTGTAGGTGTTCCCGCTGAAATGTTCAGGTTTTAAGGACACGGCTCAGAGAAGTTTATCATACACATATGACATATTTTGAAAATTTTAGGTTTTCTCTTGACAGTTCCTAGAAAATGCCTCAGAATCCAAAATATAATCATGTTTATTTAAATGTACAAATACGTTATCATTCCTTAAGCTTTAAAAGTAAATTTCAGAAGAAGATTTTAAAGTGACTTTTATCTGTTGATCTCATTTCTGCCCAGGCTATAGACTAGCCGGGACTGCATGGAGCCTTACAGAGTGAGCTCTCAGGATTTCAGAGACTGGTTCTCTATTAGGTACACTTCTAACAGGCTTGGTCATGTTTAAGACGTGACTAGAAACTGTGTTTTGTAAGTGATAATCCCTAATTTAAAAGAAATTGATAATTAAGACTTTTCTAGAATGTTCATTATTCACATTTAAAGAAATAAATTGGGCTATTCTCCTAGTATGTGTATTAGGAAAGGATGTCACATGGCTGAGAGTTACTCCACAGCTGTGGAGAACTGCCCCCTTTGCCAAAACTTGAAATTCGAGGCTTTTGTAATACTTCCTACAGTTTCTTACTTCATTTCTTCAGTGCTGGGATGGATCTCAGGGCCTTGGACATGTGAGGGAAGTACTGTACCAGTGAGCCACATCCTCAGCCCCTCTGCATTTTTAGATGCTGTCTCACTAAGTTATCCAGGTGGACCTTGAATTCACAATCCTGTCATTTTAGGATCCCAAGTAGTAGGAATTACAGGTCTATGTCCACTGGCCCAGCTCCTGTAGTTTTTCTTTTTTACAAAAATTAAATAGTATTTGTCCTCTTACTTACTCTGTTCTTGTTTCTGTAGCAGTCAAATGGCAGTTTTTAAAATTGAACTTTTTAGTGCCATACACTCCTAAAGATAGACTAGTTTGACACTTACATGCTGAGGAATGGTGGTAGGGAAATATTGTCTTTATTTTCTGTAACTGAAACATGTTTCTTCTTTTTTTTTTTTTTTGACAAAGACAGGGTCTCCTTGTAGCCCTAGCTGACCTGAACTCGCTGTATAGAACAGGCTGGCCATGAACTCACAGACATCCGCCTGCCTCTGCCTCTCAAGTTCTGGGATCTAAGGTGTTCATCAGCCATTATGTTTCTTAAGCATCAGAAAGCTTTACATATAAGTAAAAACACTGCACTTCATAATCAGTGCTCTTGAATCCAAACCGAGTTTCTGGTGGCATTTGGTGTGATGTGACAGCAGGTATAGTAAACCGTGCACACGTGTTCAGAACTGAGGCTGTGGCGTGATACTGCAACATGGGTGAGAGTTGCCAGAAGCGCCCTAGGCTCATTATATATTTGGTTTTCAGTTCATTTTTGGCCATTTTTTGTTCAAAAAACTTTTGCAGAGTTCTCGCAGCTGTCATATCCACTTAGGTGACCCCTGTGGGGTCGTGACCCATGGTTGGAAGAGCTGGAAGTGGGGAGCACACGCCTGCCTAGCACGGCTGCTTGTAGGTCACACGAGGCTGTGTCTAGCTATCATTACAGCTTAACGCCATGACGTGCATTTAGTCCGTGTGCTGCCTTTTACCTATAATTCCTGTTCTTCATTAAAGAAGAGACACTTCTGTTGCCTTAACTAAAGTCACGTTATTTGTAATTGCTATTATTGGGTTTGTTTTATTTTATTTATTTTATTCTTATAAAAACCCTTTTTTAAATTTTTTTAAAATTTTTATTATTTTTATTTTATGTGTATGCGTGTATCGCCTGCATGTAGGTAAGTGCACCTGTGTTATGCAATGCCTGTGGAGGTAAGAAAAGGCTGTCAGATCCCCTGGGATTGCAGTTACCGACAGTTGTTAGCTGCCATGTGGGTGCTGGTATTCGAACCTGGGTCTTCTGCAAGAACAACCAGTGTTCTTAACTGCTGAGCCATCTCTCCAGCCCATACATCCCACTTTTATATACTCCAAATTTATGTTCTCGATTCTAATCATCATTCTCTTTGTTTATAGGGCCACTAT